AGTACAGCCCTTGGAAGAGACAGATCTTCCCAAAGAGAAGCTCCAGCTTCACTAGACTGGGCCACAGCTTGTCAGCTCCATGGGGAGGAGATGCTCCCTCTGCATCAAGCAGGCTGGGTGAAATGCCATGCTCTTTGATACAGGATGACAGGGCTTTGCAAGCCATGGCAGGACATTTGGACCACTAGTTGAGGAGTCATAGGTCTGGTAATAGGGCAGGCATCTCCCTGAGCACCAGGAACTGCTCAGGCTAGTGCAGAGAAACATGGATTTTCCCTGTGTCCCTGGGAGAGTCAGCCTGGCCAAGCAGGGGTAGCATTTTCCTACCTGTAGTGCAGAATGCCTCACAGACATGGACAGTGTCCGTGACGGCTAAGTGGGCAAGCAAGCTTAAACCTCTCAGCACCCCATGCTGGCATTATGCTTCAGAAGAGCATCTGGGATTTACATTTTATTCTTCCAAAATGAAATTATTTTGCTTTCTGACATTCTTGGTCAAGCAACTGATTAATGCTGGTGAGCATCATGATCTCAAAAGATCCTGAAATGAGGGCTCCATTTTTTCTGAAGTGGTGAATCTGCCATACCTCTGTTTTCTTTTCTATCCACTGTAGAATAGCTACAAGTCAGCAGCAGTAGACAGCTGTTTGCCTGCATCTTCCCCCCCAAGTGTTTTTCAATGGATAACCTATGCTATTCAGTTTTGAGTTTATTTTAAGTTATTGATGAAGCTTTTGCTTCCTGGAACAAGAATGTGTAGAAAAGATCAACTGCTCTTGAAATCCATGGGCTCCTAATCCTTTTAACACCTCATAACCAGAGTGCACAGGAGATAGCAGGAGAATCTGGTAAAAATAAATTAGCAAGAAACAATAATGAAGATTTAAAACATGGAGCTCTGGTAAGCTGCTTAGAGCAGGACATTTAAATCTTCTTTTTGAAGTCATACATTCACCGATTTATACACTATTACAAAACTAATCAGGGTTCTGCAATATTTAATATCACCTTTTGTCATTACTGATGGCTGCAAAGCCTTTGAGTAGGCTGTGCATTCCGTTGCTGCTCTTTATCAAGAACTTCACCTCTTCTTGGGGTTTTGGAAGTTTTTTTGTAGGTTTTGTTGTTGATGTTAGGGTTTGGTTTTTTTTTAAATTTTATGCAGTGTTTTTCTTTCCCCCTTGAGTATTTTGAATTTATTCCACATTTTATTCACCAACCAGTGAACTTCTTATTTCCTTTGAGAATCATCTGCATAAAAAAAAAGCCTTTATTCATTTAACAGGGAGAGTCCAGATGTCTTCAGCTAAATTGATGCTGTATTTTGCACAAACCTATAAAATCAGGGCATTCAAAGACTTTAATCCCGCCTGCACCAGCTACTATAAAAGAGAAAAAGAACCGTTACAGCCAAAACCAGGACACACTCTTATTCTGTAAGGCCAGGAAGGAGCTGTAGAATAGCATTTATCTAGAAATGAGAAATATTTGAGATATTCTCACTATCCCCACAAGTTTCCCATTTCTCCTTCATGTTTTGGGTTCAAATACTCTGTTTGTGTTCTTTAAGTGGACACCGATCTCCATGTTAAGGTTTTTATATTTTAGAAAAAGCAACTCGTCTCTTTCTACTTTAAAACTTCTTAGACTGTAATAAACGTGGAAGTTGGAAGTTGGAATTAGCTGTATCACTGTAACACTAAGCCTAGCATGTACATTAAAATACATTTATACATCAGATGTTCTACTGCAGCACTAAAATTAACTTCATGTGGTTTCCCTACTTACTTTCTGTCTTATCCAAACCTTTGCCTCCATAAAGATGCCAATTAGCAAGATACATACGGAGCCATGAATCTTACTTCTGAACAGTGACTCAGTCTGTATGTGTAGCTGCAGAATTGGTGTGTTTACGTGACTATATAATTAGTAAGCTTGTGTGCATACCTGCCCCTCAGCCTCAACAGTTCATAAAACCAGAAGCCTCACAGAAGGCTCCTACGTCAGTATCTGCCCACTTATTTTTCAAGTGCCTGCAGCCACAAGCACATCCCTGACACATAGTTAATTGCTCAGAGTAAACTCTGTTTGCAGCATCAGTCTGGATAATCTTCGCTTTCTCCTTTGCCCATTCTAGAGATGGTGAGTAAGAGCAGATGTGTTGCTCCATCAGAGATGATTCAGCCTTCAGTTACAATTCAGCACGTCCCTTGCATTCAGGACCATGGCTCTCCACAAAAACAGCCATGCTCCATCTACATGGAGTACAACTGCATGGCCTCCCTCTTCTTGCAGGGCCCTGCAAACAGCAGTGCTGTGGTCCCTCCTGCATGGGGTTGTGGCATGGGGAGAGGTGTTAGGGCCCTGACTTGCAGCGAAGAACAATGTTTACTGGGGCTTTGGGCTCAAAAAGGCCCCAGGAGAAGTCATTTCCGTCAGATACTCTCTGTCTTTGTGACTCCTTTTAACCCTTTAACACAGGGTATGGGACATGTTTCCTGCCACATTGATCAGTGCTTGTAACTCAGATAAATGAGAGCTCTGGGTTCAGTGCATGGCACCACCAGGCTTACTAAGAGTAACATCTGCAAACTGCTTTCTGTGGCCATGAAGACCCTCAGCTCAGCTAAGTTGCTTTTTTTTTTTATACAATATATATGTCTGTAATACAATGGATTTTAAGAACATGCCTTTGGCATTACTTTATCTGGGACAACACTGTTATCCTGAACAGCCACTCAGCTGACTTGGAACCTGAAGCTGCCTGATTTTGAGTTGTTGAAAATTTGAGGGTTTGGTTGCTTTAATTAAATTTTCTTCAGCCTCAGGGGTACTGATGAGTTGCACAGGCAAAGGAACCTCTGGACTGCTCCTGATGCAGCCTATGCATTTTGAAGGCAGTGCCTTAACATGCTGAGGTTTAGCATGGTTTCCTAGAACACAAGCACATGTCATTGTGCTGCCTGTCAGTCAGTTGCACCTCAGAGCACTTGAGTCTCTTGACCAATCTTACTCAGATTTGACAGCAGTCTCACAGATACTGTCCCTTGAAATGTTGTGAAATGAGATGATAGACAGGGATAAACTAGTTTTTAACATGTGACCAGTGAGAAAGACTGCGTGTAAGATCACACACTTGGGCACTCAGTCACACTGCTAGGACAAGTGGTGTCAGAAGAGAAAAGCCTTTGGGGAACCAAGGCTTTGGTTCATTTATGACATGAAAGTAGGTCCTATCTTCCCCAGATCAGCCGGTAGTGAGGTAATCCAGACCTAAAGAGGCTACAGCTTACCAGGGCTGGTGGCTTCTTCAACAGCAAACAGCAGCGGTGATTCCCTGGGAGATGTCTGTGACTCTCAGGTGTGTGATATAAGTGGTAGCAGACAATTGGTCTAGCTGTCCAGCTGGGAACTGGTCACTTCAGGATATGCCATGATTTCTGCTTAATACAGTCACAGGAAACTCTTCTTACATACCTCATGTGCACAGAGAATATCATCTATGCAGCCTCAGAAAGTTTTTGGAAAAGCCCCCCACACTGTTCCATCTCCGTTGCCTTCTCCTTTCAGATGCTCGCTATCCAGGCACCCTCCCTATGCTTTGTTAAGACAGTGGCTTTGTTTCTTTTGGCAGGGAGAGCTCATGTTAACGATACGTTATGAGTTTTTCTTTGATACAGCCAGTGGTCAACAGCATATGCCATCTCTGTGCCCTCTGACAGTGTAATTAGGCACCTTTTTCCTCCCACAGTGACCTCTCCTCCTCTCCGAGGTCTGACCTGATAAATGAAACAAGGCAGGATAGAAATAACAAGGCTTTCCCTGGCTTCCCTGGTGTTGGATTTTGTTCTGGAGGGAGGCAGAGTGCAAGGACTCCACAGAGAAACAGTGGGACATGATGTGGATACAGAGCAAAGACAAAGAAAATGCTGCCTTGTCTTCAGGGTACAGCATTCTGGAAATGCTCAGCTCCCTCCACCACTGTGGCTGTGAGTGCGTTACCCATGGACAGGGATGTCATGTTTGCTTAGGCAAACAACACTGATGCACCCCCACACCCCTTTCTGTGCAGATATAGCTACCAGCCCTACAATTGCAAAACCACAATGTCTCATCTATGCAGGTGTGTACAGGCCAACCACACGAGCAGTGCTCTTCATTGCACGTGCACTGCCCCAGGCACATTGATAAATAGCCAAAACATAGATATGGAGCTCCTCTGGAATTCCCATCAGATTTGGACAAAACCAAGGGCCTTGCTGTGAAAATGCTTCAAGCCTTGCTAATTGGTTACAGGTCATCTCCTTCACACTGCTCCTTACTCAGTTAGTGACTCTATCATAGGGATCCTGGTGTTCTCCATCAGACAGCATTGTGCCAGGCCTGCAGATGTTGAGAGGGCTTTCTGTACGGCCACTTCCAAGTGAATTATGGACAACCAGCCCCAACTGTTCATTCTAATGCAAATTAGATGGAAAAAAGCAGAGATCATTTCTCTTTTATCTCCTAGAGTCTAAGCCATAAACACACGTTAAGCTTATACCTATAATTTATCTCTCTTTATAAGATAAATGTTCCTTGTAGAAACTAATTAAAAAGAAAAAAAGAAAAAATAATAAAAAAGGCACAAAACAAACCATAAAACAACTCTAGTTCCCAGGTTGGTTTTTTTTCCTAGATTCTTTTTTATTATTTCTCATTAAAGAATAGATGGACTAACTGCTGTTCTCAGTGTTCCAGTTAATTATGTGGCCAGCTTTACAACCTGGTAATACTCATCTGCTATTGCTTTGTCTGGTGCCAGTTTACTGCTAAAATGATGATTTATGGTGTGTTTATACTCTTACAGTTTACAATCTTCTGTAAAACATTCTCTCTAGAGATGAGTCCTAAACCGCTTTTCTGTCCCAGCTTTGCTTGTGACTGGGGGCAATGCAGCAAAGCCATGCCTCACATGGGTTTGGAGGGCATCTGCATAAATGCACGATTCATGTAGAGTGAAACACATCATCAGATGGACTCTGCAGAATGGGTCAGAAAGGAATATGTTTTTAAAAGGTATCTTCTGGGATGATTTTTGCAAACCCCAGCTGCTTTGGAAATGGAAAGGTATGGGACCACTACCTCTGTGACTCATGGGTCTGCAAGTCTGGCTAACTTCATTATTCCACTTTTCTCTGCAGACAAGATTCCAGGATAAAGTGTCCTTCTGCCTGATGCATACCTGGAAGAGTTTGTTTGCCCCAAGAGAGAAGAATGGTGACATGACAAACCTGTGCTGAAGTTGCCACAGAAGTTCCTGTGAGCTGTTCCACACTGATAGGTTTAGGTTAGGGGTGTTTTAGTAAAAAGTTTGATTTTATATAGAGTAAAGTGTTAGAGAGAAGTGACTGAACCCGAAATGTCAGAGGAAATGAAGGAGCTAGGAGGAAAGGGAGTAGACCAGCGCTATCTCCTCCAGCTTACCACACCAAAAATGACACAGGTTTGACTGACAGTTAAAACAACTGCCCTGCTGCATTTAACAGCCATTTTCAACCACTGTCACAAGCACAATGCAAAAACTGCTGACAAACGGCCTGGGGGAATAATAAGGAAAGACAGAAACTGGAAGAAGCCTTGACACATCAAGGTTTCCCTGTGACATGGGGAAAAGAGCCCATATGGTCATGCGAAACTAGCTAAGGCCATGTCTATGGAATTTGTTAAGGGTCTGGCTCTTTGTAGCACTTAAATGCATGCTTAGCTTGAATTCACATAGCGCTGTTTGCTTCATTTCTATGCTGACTTGGAGTCAAAGGCATAAAGGCCAGAGAGGAAGTCTTGGTGTCCCGGAGAATTCTGTGAACTGCTCCCTGAGCTTTTTAAAAGTGGTGGGAACATGTTATGCTATGGTTAGTCCAGACAGATCATTAAAATCTGTATCAAGAGGCAGCTGGTAAAAGAGCGTCTCTATTTAGCCAGCTAAGTAACATATCATACACAAGGTCATAGAGAAAATTTGAATTGTTTCTATATTACAAACACACAATTTACCTTCTTTTCTTTCAAGTCCAATATAAAGGAGATGCAAAGGGGTACTTCATATAAGAAAGGTTTGAAAACATTCAATAAAGGTTGAAAAAGAGATGTATGGCAATAACTACGTGAACAAATGTGTGTCTATATGAGTATTTCTGTCTGTGTGTGCAAATATGGAAACAATTTTAATTAAATTTCTGAAGAGGGTGGAAAAGTCACCTGATGCCTACATGTTTTTACCTGTCTGCTGCTAGTACATGTGTCAAACCCTGCAATATGGTAGCTGTTCTGGTAATTGCCACTATGATAACTTACCATACAGCCTCTAATTTTAATTTGTGAAGAACCAGGCATGGAAATTGACTGGCTGCAAGATCTCTAAGAGGTATGTTATGATGTACGAGGTTTTTTCCCCATAAGTTAGATGATGAAATTACTGAGTCAGCTGGAAACAAATCAGGAGAAACATAGAATAGTTAGGGTTGGAAAGGACCTTAAGATCATCAAGTTCCAAGCCCCCTGCCATGGGCAGGGACACCTCACACTAAACCATATCACCCAAGGCCTCGTCCAACCTGGCCTTGAACACTGTCAGGAATAGAGCATTCACAACTTCCTTGGGCAACCCATTCCAGTGCCTCACCACCCTAACAGGAAAGAACTTCTTCCTTATATCCAATCTAAACTTCCCCTGTTTAAGTTTTAACCCATTACCCCTTGTCCTGTCACTACAGTCCCTAATGAAGAGTCCCTCCCCAGCATCCCTATAGGCCCCCTTCAGATACTGGAAGGCTGCTATGAGGTCTCCATGCAGCCTTCTCTTCTCCAGGCTGAACAGCCCCAACTTCCTCAGCCTGTCTTCATACGGGAGGTGCTCCAGTCCCCTGATCATCCTCGTGGCCTTCCTCTGGACTTGTTCCAACAGTTCCATGTCCTTTTTCTGTTGAGGACACCAGAACTGCACACAATACTCCAGGTGAGGTCTCAGAAGAGCAGAGTAGAGGGGCAGGATCACCTCCTTCAACCTGCTGGTCACGCTCCTTTTGATGCAGCCCAGGATACAGTTGGCTTTCTGGGCTGGGAGCACACACTGAAGCTGACTCATGTTCATTTTCTCATCAACCAACACCCCCAAGTCCTTCTCTGCAGGGCTGCTCTGAATCTCTTCTCTGCCCAACCTGTAGCTGTGCCTGGGATTGCTCCAACCCAGGTGTAGGACCTTGCACTTGGCCTGGTTAAACTTCATCAGGTTGGCATTAGCCCACCTCACAAGTGTGTCAAGGTCCCTCTGGATGGCATTCCTTCCCTCCAGTGTATCAGCCAAACCACACACCCTGGTGTCATCGGCAAACTTGCTGAGGGCGCACTCAATCACACTGTCCATGTCAGCAACAAAGATGTTGAACAAGACCGGTCCCAACTCCGATCCCTGAGGGACACCACTCGTTACTGGTCTGCAGCTGGACATTGAGTCATTGACCACAACTCTTTGTGTGTGGCCATCCAGCCACTTCTTTATCCACGGAGTGGTCCATCCATCAAATTGATGTCTCTCCAATTTAGAGACAAGGATGTCGTGTGGGTCAGTGTCGAACACTTTGCACAAGTGCAGGTAGATGACATCAACTGCTCTACCCCTGTCCATCAGTTCTGTAGCCCCATCATAGAAGCCACCAAATTGGTCAGGCAGGATTTCCCCTTAGTGAAGCCATGCTGGCTGTCACCAAGCACCTTGTTGATTTTCAGGTGCCTTAGCATGCCTTCCAGGAGAGTCTGCTCCAAGATTTTGCTAGGCAAAGAGCCTATTATTGACACTGGTTTTGTTCATGAAGGCAAATAGGAGTGCAGGTCCCTCTGCATTTGTTTTTAATTCCAGAAGTATTTATTTTTTTGTGAGGGAAAGATTTTTTCCTATACCTAGGCACACAAAGCCATGGAATCCTTCCTGCTCACAAGGTGCACAACAAAGATCCTGGAAGTAGTCTGATAGAAAAAGATGCTGATTTCTTACTGGTGCAGCAGTTGGGATGAGGAACGACAGAAGAGGTAATTGAGAAACTGGATCTTCATTTGCAGGCTACAGATATGGAAAAATGTGCTCCATTTGCAGTCATTCTCATTAGAGGCCCTTTTTGCCTTGTCTGTGTGACAGCTTTCAAGCTGACATTTTTATCCAGAAGATGATCATTGGGAAAATGTATTCAATAGAGCTAACAAGAACTGAAACTGCCTATCATCTCAAACACTTCATGTTCCAGGAGTATTGCATTTCCCTGCTATATGTGTCCAATTGACACATATGTCCTGTCTTGCCAGATCGAAGCACACACCCAGTGCATGTGTTCTTCTGAAACACATCAAACAAATGAAGTTACTTTAGAAAAAGACCTGTGCTGTGCCTGAATTAAAATGCTGCTGATGTACAGTGTGCACAGGCAGCATGGACTAATGGGCTGGGCTGTATTTATGTGATTTCACTTGTAGTTACTAACTGAATAAAAGGTTGGGTAGTTCTTTTTAGCTGCTTTTTTTGCCCTCTTTCTATCTGCTTGCTTCATTTAGGTCACACCATTTTCAGAACCACAGATGCCTGTTACCAAACCTGTACTGCAGTGGGGTCCTGGGGCAATCAGATGATTGCTATAAAGGAATAAATCATTAGAAGTATGATGTCTTTGGAAAGTGTACATTAGTTTAAGCATTTTCCACTTGTATCTGCAGGTAACCGGCTCCCGTCATTAGCTGTGTAGAGTCTGGATTGATTGGCAGGTGACCTGCATCCATCACTGCAGGTATTTGGCAAGGCATGAGAATGCAGGTCTGCATCGCTGGCAATGCAACTGAGTGTGTGCTGATACTTGCCAGATTGTTCCTCAGAAACACTGGGGCTGTGGCTGTGATTCTTGTTGGATGGTCCTGTGCCAGTACTGAGGCACCTGGGGGCTTCAGGGTTTGGTCCAGGTGAGCAGAGCAGAGCCAGAGCACAGGCTTCAGAAGCAGAGCATCCAGGGAGGAAAATGATGTCAGCAGGAGGATCCCTGCCTGGGGTTTTGCAGACTTTGAACTGATCAACTCTCCAAGGGGAATGTCAGTGCTTTACTTACCACATATCTCAAGAAACCTCTAAAAACAGGGAAAATGAGAGAGAAAGAGAAGAAACCAAAGCTTTTGACTGGCACCTATTCCCTCTGCTTTGGGCCTTGTAAAATGACTGAAAGTCCTGGCACATCTGGGCACTTATTTATCCCATAAATCTGAGTGCATTTCATTTATGTCACACTTTTGAATACCCTTGCATGCACAGTGAGCTGTGCTGTCTGCCAGGGGAGGAAATGGAATAAAAGTAGAGCTGGCCAGAGCGCCGTAAGGTCTGTTCCAAGACCTAGCAAAATCTGGCTGTGTTTTCAGGTTATTTAATCTCCCCGCTGTTTTATACTAAAGGGATAATGGTCACAGACCAGAACTGCTGACACTTGTCAGGTAATGATCAACTGGAGTGTCTTGTCAGGTCTGGCTGTTAACCAAGATATAGCTTCCAGGAGCAAAGGCTCCCAAATGTCTCACCTGCTTCTTCTGCAGGGCTCCAGTATGCTCCAGCCATGCTTTTGATAGAGCTACTGCCAACTGTCAGTCAGAGGAGAGTTTAGGACATTGCAGGCTGCTCTTGAAAAATGCCCATTGCTGGTGCACAAACATGGGAAAATCTTTGTGTTCTTTTTGTGCTGATATGGAGAAGCCATGGCTCCTCTGAAGGGCTGGGGTGCTGTGACAGATACACTTGACCCCTTGTGTACTTTGGTTTAGGCTAAATAAGGAGCAACAGGACTCATACCCCATAGAACCTATGAGCTGGAAAGCTCCTGATTTATGTACAAGGGAATGAAGGTGTAAAATGAAGATGTGTCTTGTCTATACTATTGACTTGCAGCACTTGCTCTGTAAGTATTACCATTTGGATGAGCCCTGATCCTTCAGCTCTCGGTCAGCTGTTTATTCATCCCCCGGCAGAGCTCTGATGTCAACTGGTCATTGACATAGAAGGTGGCACCCCATCCTTGTCTCCCCATCCTGTCTTTCCTGAAGAGCCTGTATCTTTCCATTCCAGCACTTCAGTCATAGGAGGCATCCCACCATGTCTCTGTAACGTCAATGAGGTCATAACCAGCTCCCAGCAGACCAGGCTTCTCAGAGTCCTATGGTCTAAGTATCTGAACCCCTGGCTGTGACACCAGTCCCATAACCATTTGTTGATTCTACTGGCCTTTCAAATCCAATCCCTTCCCTTTGACCAGGAGGATTGATGAGTCCAGCATCATCCGGCCAGTGTGTCTCCTTTCCACAGTGCCACTGGACTAAAGCATGCTTCCTTCGTTGAACAAGCAGATTTATAGGTTTTCAAGGGCTTGAAGTCTCACAAGCCTTGTTCAGCATTTGTTTCAGACAATAAAGAGCTCTTCTTTGCCTAGCAAAGCCATGAATGCCTGTTTTCCACTGACTTAGGGCTTCTCTGAGCTCTTCAGCTGATAATCTGTTTGATGTCTAATCAGCCCTGCATGTTGCCTTCTTGGTCATGAAAATTCTTCATAATGCTCCCCTGTAGGCAGTACAATCACAGTCTAGTCACATTCTCAATATCTCAGTACATCTCTGGGGAGGTTTCTGGAGCAAAGCCAGTTTCCACCAGCTAATTCAGGTGGTTAAGTAATCATCAGTGTGTTTTGGATGTGCTTGATAAGG